CATTTAATTTTCATAGCAACTTTAAGATTTAAGTGGCATTTTTTCCTATGCTGTTAAAAGGAAAAAATCTAAAAGTCAAATAGTTGATTAATTTTTTCAAGCTTTCCTGTCTATACATTAATAGAGATAGAACTGATTGATTTGATATTCTACACCCTTGTGGACATGGTCTAAGTCAGAGGTCCCCAACCCCTGGGCCATGGATCAGTATCAGTCTATGGCCTGCACAGCAAGAGCTAGGGGCGGGAGAGCAAAGCTTCATCTGTATTTACAGCCCTTCCCTGTTGCTCTCATTACTGCCTGAGTTCTGCCTCCTGTCAGATTAGTGGTGGCATTAGATTCTCATAGAAGCATGAACCCTACTGTGAACTGCACATGTGAGGGATCTAGGTTGCGAGCTCCTTAAGAGAATCTAATGCCTGATGATCTGAGGTGGTGCTGAGGTGGTGATGCTAGCGCTGGGGAGCGGCTGCAAATACAGATTATCATTAGCAGAGAGGGTTGACTGCACAGAGACCATATAAATCAATTGCTTGCAGATTCATACCAAAACCCTATCAGTTAGTGGCAAGTGACAATTAAGCTGCATCTGGTGAGAGGCTATAAAGCCATCTCCCCCACCCCTGGTCTGTGGATAAATTATCTTCCATGAAACCAATCCTTGGTGGCAAAAAGGTTGGGAACTGTTGGTCTCTAAATATGTATAAAATTAAGAAATGTCTAGTTTCTGTGGTTATTTTTTTGCTGTGGAAAAAATGTGATTTATATATATGGTGTTATGCTGATGACATGTTGTAAAGTTAGGATTTCTACCTCTTCCAGAATTAAAGCAGAGGTGCTTGAATACTTGTTAAATCTATCTACTTGAAATTAAAGCACCTGAGGTTTGTCAGATTAGAACTCCATTTTTAAAATAAAATTGTTGAAGTCCAAGAAGAAAATATGTTCACCCATATAAACTAACTTGGTTTTACAGAGATTGATTATTTTAATTGTCCCTTCTCCATATATGGAAGCTCTATCATTGGTGAACTATCATTAAGGCAAAAACTTTGAGTTGTTATTTTAATTTGATTTCTTATAAAGGGGGTAGATTAGTATCAGTTCATCCACCCTCACTTATTTAATTGCTATCATGACAAATTCCATGGATTTTTATATACTGGTCATAGGCCTGGATGCATCTATGAAATAGATGAAGAAATTAAGATTGATACTTGATTCATAGCTTCTTTAAAGGTATCAAAAACAATGCAGCTACTCTTAGAAAAAGTCCTAAGATCAAGACTCTTCTCATCATTGATATATTCTTTGATGAATAGAGGAGAAATTTAGCAGGAGAAATAAGAGCATGGTGAGCTCAGCAATATATACTATAATCCTTGACATTTTTTTGGTCTAGTTGTCCTCAGAACAAATGGAAGCTTTTGTTCTTTTTTAAGATTCTGAAAGTGTCACCCATTACCTACCAATTTTTGCTGCAATGTGATGTCTTGCAAAGATAAATTCAGATTGATTAGGCAATTTCTCAGAATATAGAGGAGTTGTAATATTTTGCTACTCTGAATACATACATCCAGGCAAGATGCAAAGTGGTATGTCCAAGTCTATATTGGTGACAGTAATTTAAATATTTGTATATTGCAGCAAGAACAATGACAGCTTATAAAAGTGGGGTCTATATATAAGTTATTTGACAACTCAAATAATATTCCATCATCCTATGATGCCACCGCACAATAATCTGTGAGGTAGTTAAGGGTGTGTTGTGTATTTTTTTGTGTGTGTTTTGGAGGGTGTAAAGTAAGGTAATTTTGAGAACTTGGGTCAGTTACTGAAGAATCTTTTCTACTCTTCCCAACCTATTTAATTTCCTCAGTTGGTTCATGTCTGAAGTGAGTATCTCAGAAGACCACAACTATCCCAGTCTCTTGTTTTTCTGAAGAACCAAAGTAAATGGGCAGAATTTTACCTATGGGATTTTTGGCTTTTTTTTTTAGTGGAATTTGTATCTGAATTACACAAACTAAGAGCATTCTTGTAGGAGGTAGATAGAATCTTATGGGCCCTACTTTCTTAGTACAAGCTCCCCCTTCTCTTGTATTTAAGTCCTAATAAGTTTTGACTTCATTTCAGTTTCCCTGAAAATTAAAAGATATACTTTCTGTCATTTAGGTACTCTTGCTGTGGAGCTGTTTTGATTTCAAAGAAATGTTACCTATTGTGACAAGTGAAACTAATGTTAGGCAAGATTTCCATAGGTTTTAAATCCTGCTTTGTTAATCCTCAGGTAAAAATAGTCAGTTGGAAAAATCTAGAAGGCTGGAAAGACAGATTTAGAGAATGAGCATTCTTTCCCAAACAGTCTCTTGGAGATTGTCTTCTTACACTAGAGGCAGCAAGAGCCAGATCATAGCAGTGCCTAAAGCCAACCTGTTCCAACAGGCTTCATCTTCCTTTGTACAAATTTAAAAAGAATGGGTCCTCACGTAAGCATTTCAAATCCAGAGACAAATTTGAAAAAAATTGCTACAACATGTTGACTGATTCCTTGCCAAGTCAGCCACTGAGAACATTTTCTTGATCGACTTACACAGAGAAAATTAGAAGGGGTAGGGAAAGCACGTAACTTCATTATAAAAAAAAAATTAAGCTTCACAGTACCCTAAATCCCTTTCCCTCTTATGATTTTCTCTTCTATTTTTAATCCCCCTCTTTTCTTCACCCTTACCTTTTTTCCTTTCTTGCCTTTTTCTTTTTCTCTGTCTTCTAATTATTCTCTGTTGTTCTAATGTATTCATTTTTGCTTTTAGTATTGATGCAGTGATATGTTCTGGAGAAATAGCTTTCCAAAGATTATATTTAGAAGTACAGATTCAAACCAGCAGAAAGGTTAAGAATGTTTTAAAAATATGCTTGTCAGTGGTGGAGAGAAAGCTGTTTGTAGCCAGCAGGTGAGCTGGAGAATACTACAGGGTGTGGTAGAAATAGTAATAAATTAACTAGCAAGCCAAAAACTATAAAAAAAAATCAGCTATTTCATAGCATAGAAGCATGACAGCTATGAAAAAAGGAGTGCCCCAGGGAATTCTTTTAGAGTTTGATTTTTTAAAATATGTTTGACATGAAAAATGTTTTAGTACAAATACAGCAACTGGTATTAAACTTAGAGGGGGTGGGGGATTGTGTTTTAGAGTTATTATGAATAATGCATGATATTTAAAGAAAGAATAGCTCTAAATGTTCCGGGAGGCAGTCCATGTTGATGGTTGGAGTGGTGATTTTTTCCCTATTTTTGAAGCATCATTAATTCAACATCGTTTTGTGATTTTTTTAACCTGATAAGATATCAACCAAAGAAATACTATTTGACTTAGATCAGAATATTCTTTCATCAGATAATTTAGTTTAAATATCAAGAAGATCAGTAGAATTATTTAAGCATAAAGCAACAGTCATTTACTATAAAAAATAATTTGGCCTAGTTATCTTTTTTAAAAAGCTCATGTAGCACTGCAAACCAAAATCAACCTCATGGAAGGGGAAAAACAAGATCAGATATTTTGAACATTACTCCATAGGAGACTAGCACAATATAGTGTTAGTGAATGCATTGTAGCAGCGCTCCATATGCAATCAGAAGCCAATTGTTACTGGACTGTGTACAAGCACACACTGTGCTCAATGGTCTGATGAGGTATTATGGATATGATGCAAAGAGACTGTGTAGATTAGAAGCTAACAATTTGTTAAAAGTGAAAGCAACTTAACATTTACATTGGGCCAGCTGAGTAGCACTTCATGTGGCAAGCAGGATGAGTTCCAAGGACCCAGGGGCTTCAGGAAGGCTCCAGGTATTAGTGTCCCTGCCGAAAAAAGAAGTTTTATTGCTTTCCAGTTGACTGCCTTTATTACTGTGATTCTTTCTGTACTGTTTCTTCATTATTACATTCAGCTTTCAGTGTGGAAAAGTTCATGCAAAACAGCATGATTATTATAAATGTCAAAAATGTGTGGAGAAACAGCCTATTAAAATATAGCCTAGAGATAGTACATAACACTGACTTTAAATAAGTAGCCGAAGCCAAAGTGATACACCATTAAATCACTGATATTGTGTAATTTATCCACAAGTATCAATTTTTACTTCAGTTGCCACTATCACAGTACATTCCTCATCATTCTCTTGGTTCCTCAGGTCGCTGCACACAGTGTATGTTCTTCGGGCACAGACGGTACTTCAGTCCCCCTACTTAGGAGTGGTCTCGAGTCAGAAACACATTAAGACGTAGCAGTGAACTCTGCTGAACCATGCTCAATCTTTCCAGGCTTCTAATGCAAATATTCCATGTAAAATGCATGGTTATTTAATCAAATCATCAAGAAGTATGTGATAAGTGCCTAGCGTGTGTGATTCTGTACTAGGATCCACCAGAAGTTAATCCAGAAAAATAATGCTTTTACTCCTGGTCGAATGCCAGGCATTTCACAGAATGTAGGCAGATAAGGTTAGCATTTTAAAATTTTTTTTCTATTTTTTATAAAATAAAGTTTAGGGTTATGGACAGTCAATAGCTCATAATCTTTTTTGGACTCTTAACGCTCTGCCTTGTCCACTAAGCCAAACTTTTTGTTGTTCAAATACAAAAGCCTTAATGCTTTCTCAGTGAACTGAGTGTCAGCTTGGCTTGAAGATATTTTTTTACTCTTAAAAAAATGATGTATTACAAGATTTGTAATGGAGTGAACATGCTTGAATTGCACATTTAATTTTTTTAACATCACATTCATGTTTTGCCAGTTTGCCTACCAGCTATCTGTTAACAAAAAGTTCCAAGGCAGCACTGCAAGTCTGTGCCCAACTAAGCCTTTTGTTTCTGCAGATGTTTGGGCTTAGAGCAATGTTGTAAAGCTCAGGCAATCCAAGGACCATGTTTGTACTTGTCTGCTGCGATTCCCTGTGCATTGTCTAAACCTGTATGCATTGTTCTTTCCGACAGGTGATAACTACCCCGTACAGTTCATTCCATCAACAATGGCAGCTGCTGCTGCTTCTGGACTCAGCCCTTTACAGCTCCAGGTATGTGCCAGAAGAAAAAAATGTGGGATACGAGCCAGTACTTTAGTGGAAAACTGCTAACCAGCTGTATGCTAAATAATGGCCTGAATGTTAAATAATTTTTTAAGCATAGCCTAGGAGGATTAACACCTTATGTACTTACCATACTGCAAATAGAAAAGTGCCAGTTTCAATATTTTTAAAAGAAAAATGACATGATGACTTAGTACTGTATATATTCTCTATCAGGTGAGTTAATGGTTTTATAATTTCTTTATGGCTAGTTGTTATTGGCTACATTAGCTTTTTCCTTGTCAATTTTCCATCCATGTCTTAATTTATGCCAAATTAGCTTTTACATATAAGCATCAAAACAGAAAACAATGTTGGATATTTTCCATCCAACAGCTCATAGAAGAGGGGGTTGTTATTAACAAATTACTTTAGCTATTTTGTAAAATGTAAACACATTGTACAGTATGTGTAGCCTCATCTCATCCTCTTCCTCATCGTGGTCAAAAGTCTGGGCATGGTGTTTGACAAGTTCTGGATTAGTGTTGTTTACTTAAAAGTTACGCTTGGGGAGAAAGTGTTTTAGAAGCTGAATCAAAAAAATCATTCCCATCTATTTTCTTCACAGTAAAATGAAGGGTTTACAGTAGGGCTAGGTGATCTTTACACTCTTCCAGCACCTGCCACTTTAATGGGAAATTGACTTTAAATATGAGTATTTATTTTAACAAAAAGATAATATTAAAGTAAGAGTTGAATCTACAGAATTTAAATAATTAGAAAATATATGATAGTAATCAAGTTTAATTTCAATAAAGTAGAAAGTTTAAAGATAGTATTTTATTCTTATCATTTACTGTGATTATTTTGAGTTTTCTTGAATAATCTAGGGAATAGCATCTGGCTAGGCATTTTACTTTCTTCTTTGCTATTCCTTACACAACTTCAACAAAAAAAAAAAGTGCAAATATTTTACCACGAAAAAACAACATTTTGAGTATTTTCAATTGGGTCTGCAAATAAGAATTGTTATTATAAGCCTCATCCAGAAAGCATGGAAGATGTTACTTGTTATGTACTGCCTTAGAAATTTTGCCTTATAGGAGCAACGACCCTACCTCTCTTCCAAACCTTCACATTCTTCACTACTAACACTAGAACTTACTGAAGTTGGTAAAATCTACAAAGAAGCCTCACTAATAGGAATCCTAATCTATCTCCCCTTTTTGGATAGCTATGCTGTAGAGTGTACCCTTGAGTCAGAGGCAGAAATAAGAACCGGTACCATTGTTTGATCTTATTACCAAGTTTCTGTGAAGGAGCATCTGGGTCCTAACCCTTCTACTTTCTATTCTTTGGTGTGGTCAGTACCCTGGATTTAGAAATATGTGTTCTGTTTCATGAGTTCTGACAGTATGTTTTGTCTTTTTTTTTTTTCTGAATATGCTACTAAACAGAAGGGTCATGTTTCCCACCCACAAATTAACCCAAGGCTAAAGGGCCTAAGTGACCGTTTTGGCAGGAGTTTGGACACCTTTGAACATGGTGGTGGCCACTCTTACAACCACAGACAGATTGAGGTATGAATACTTCCGCTGGCGCTTCACTGGTGGGGGGGCTGGATTGCTCAGTCATATTCTAGGCTTTTTTAAAAGGTGGCAGACATTCAACCTGAATGCTAAGATGGAATCATTTCCTTTTCTTTCATTCCTAAGGAGGCTCATTTTTGCTCCTTTTCTTTCATAAAAAAAAGATAAAGGTCCAACCAATGTCCTGAATTAAGTTGTTAATTGCTGTATATGTACTCAGGCAAATTCTTCACCTTGTGAGTGTCCTCAAACCATCTTTAATTCCCTTACTCTTTTACTCTTTTTATGAATAGTGCTGTATAATGTTTAAAAACACTTAAAACATTAAAAATAATCTCATTTGACCATGTAACAACTCTGTAAAGTTGATAGAATATAATTTTGTTTGTACAGACAAACAACGGAGGTTCAGAGAGGTTAAGTTATTTAACAAAGGCTACAAAATATTCACGGAGTCAGAGATTTTACCCAGGATTTCTAACTCTACCTAATTTGGGTTTCCTAATTTCGTTTTCTCAGGCTGAAGGAGGGACAGGTGTTGGGCCTGACTAGTTGCTTTTTACCCCATAAACTTTGATAATATTCCTTTCATATTTAACTTCCAATGAAGCTCTTTTTTGTTTTGTGGAGTATTCTTACTAGTTGGGAGAAGATAGCTTATATGGTTCTTTTGGAAACCAAGTCCTTTTCTTCTACAGGGACCTAGTAATTCTTTAATTTCACACTTAATTTCTCTCCTATATCATCAGTGTCCCTCTCTGGGACTTTTGGGTACTGGACAGTTGCCAGTTATCTGTTGAATCACCAAAAAAAAAAAAAAAAAAATGGAGACAGGTTACCTCAGACCAAAACACACTTTAACTCTCTGGGTTACATTTTACATTCTAACCTACAATGGGAAACAATTTTTAAAAAAGAAAGAAAATAATTACAGCTAGCAAAAGTTTGTATATTCAGCTCCTATTGGCTCTGCCAGTCTATACATATCAAATACTATATACTTAATAAAGTGTCCCTTTGACATCTTCTCTCATGCTTTTGAATCTGCATTTTTGGAAAATGGTAAAGTTTACTCTTAAGAAGGAGGAAGAGGACAAAATCAAAGGCCACCTTGGAAATAGCCTAGGGAAAGTTTCCAGAGCTTGTTGCCCACATTCCTATGTCCCTTTCCCTCTGATATGAGAAGTATACAGGGGGTTTCCACCCAGATATGGCCAGGCATATACTCCCAGAGCATCTTCTGTCTTTTATAAAACCAAAAGGGATTTATTTTCTAAGGCTTTTAGAGGTAGAAATGGTGCCATATTTCTGGACATTCTGAAAATCTTCTATGCTCAGGATTGATTGCTAAATAGAGAGAGAACTGGATGTTAAGAACAAGCCTTTATGTGTGATGACCATTAACAAGCTTACCCTCGCAGGGCAGATAATTTGTTAAACTTTAAAGTGCTTGAAAGAATGAGAAAGCAGGTGGCCTTGGCACGAATGCAAGACTTCCTTTCTTTAACTTTTACTTTCTCTTGAAGTGCTGAATTCTATCCCATCAACCTTCTCTTAGCCAGTTTTCCATCCAATCTTTTTTTTTCTAATTTTTCGGAAGTCACTTAAATTGACTACTTTCCTCTACAATATCACTGGCTGTGATGCTGTCAAATCTGGCTTCTGTTGGGCTTCTCGATACCACAGTGTCATATATGTGAGTGCCAGCTCCTACTCATGCTGTAGCAATGCTGATCTAGAAGAACAACCTATGCCAATGTCTATCACTTTTATTAGGCTATATAGAGAACCTATTGAAGCGGGAGTCCTCATAGCTTTGTAGCTTAAGTTTGGGCTGGTTTGAGAGTTTCCTAGGTTTTTGTTTATGCCTGCTTTGTTTCTTTGCTTCCATTTTTTTGCAATTTTTTCCTACATGTCAGGAAACCTTTGTTCTGTTTGATTGTCTGGTACATGGGTTAGAAAAGATTGACATTGTTCAAAAGACAGATTTCCCAAACTTTCCTGGTATTAGTATAGCATATTTATTGGGATGTTTATGAACAGCACAGTAGACACTTATATCTAAGCTGCTACAGACATTAACATTTTAAATCTTAAGCAAGAACTCAGAGAAATCTTAATAATATCTTGCTTGATTGATTTTAAAGTCTGCTTTCTTTTCTAGCTAAGAGGTTCTCTTCTTCTATGACAAGCTAAAATGTCACAGCTTGGTCAACAGTCATCATCATGATAAACCGTTGATACTAAAGAAGCATTACAATAATGTGAGCTGGTTTTATTTCTAAACAGCGTTCTAGTAAGAAGAGTCCCTAACACAGGCGTACCGCCTTCACGCCGCCACCGCACCGCCTCCACACACACCCTGTTGCACTGCTCAGAACCGCTCTACTGCTCAGAACAAGTTAACTTGTCCTTCAAAGGCTGTCACTTCTAACATCAATAAGCCTGGGTAAATCTCAACAGTGTTTATAGTTATACCCTGGAAGCCTGAAATTTTGTTATCAAGTAGAGAAAAAGTATTTAAAGTGGAAAGACCCTCCTTGCATTAGTGTATTTCAGTTCTTTCTTTCTCTAGAGTAAGGTAGATGCAGGGAAGTTATTTTATTTTGGTTTTTTTTTTAGTTTTCTGTGCTAATCTAAGGCATGGTTTACTCTGCCTCAGAGGCACAAAATTAGAAGAGAGCAGGCCAAAGAACGCTATTTTTAGTTGAACAGTTCAGCAGATGGAGTCCTGAATACTCATATATCTGAAGGTTGAGGGGCTTGAACCATTAATTTTGATAATGTATTTAACCCTGGGAACAATCAGAGACTGTAACTCTAAGGTTACAGTGCTTTTGACCTTTAGAGAACAGAGGGCATTTGCTACAGTAAACAATATATTATATTGCTACTTATTCCTGTTCTCTACCCGTATAAATTTCAGGACCGGTTGCCATTTGCTTTCCTCAGCTATGTTAGCATTGGTGCTTCAAGTAAGTCAAAAAGAATGTTAAGGTAGGGGGACCAGTATAATGAGGCAGTCATGTAAATATGCCCTTTAAATAGCTAAGACGTTAGGTTGTTTCTGAAGAAATATTGTCTTAGAAACTAAGCTCTGAATGACTTTTTCTCCCCCAAAGGAAGATGTGGTTTCAGTGTATTGATTCATTGTATGTGATAAGTTTCAATATGATAGATCCTTAAGGTGACCTTGTTTTGTTTTGTTTTTAATTGGAAGTAATGTTTATCTCATAGTTGTAGCTTATATTAAACACAATCTGGTACTGTGTCATGCAAAGTGATACACCTGTCTCATGTCTTCTTATTAAATGATTCATGCCCTCTTTAGCAAATACAGCAGTTAAATATCACACAGCTTAAGAATTTCTAATTAAAATATCTCCACATGTCAGCATATTGGTAATGTATTATTTTAATCCATTTATTTTGTTTATGAAACAGTGACATATGTTTAGATTGTGAAATATATGAGGCTTAAAAATCACTTTATTGAAGAAAATTAATTCCTACAATATCGTCTCGGTAATGTGTTCACTCACCCAGTCACTGGCGGCGCTGCCAGTCTTAATGTTGGGTAGACATACTTACCAGTTTTATCTGCACAACAGTCTTGGGAAAAAGTACTAACAGTTCTTTTTCTTAGCTCCAGATGATAAGGCTTATGTTCTTTACTTTTTTTCCTTACTCATTAATTCAAACCTATCCCCCCAAAACACTTTTTGTTGCTGCTCTTTTTTTTTTTTTAATACAATGAAGGATGGGACAGAGTATGTATAAGGGATTCTGAAAGACCAATCAAAATTAAAAACAAGCTAGTTACCTTTTCAAAGTTAGACAGAGTAATTTGTTTGTCAGCAGGGAGATGTTTGGGTCAGCCCTGAGATAAAGTGACTGTCAGCAGTTATTCCTACAAGACAAGTAATTTCACTCAATGTATTACTGACAGATTGCTCACTTCTCTGAATCACTGGAGAAAACAAACTTAATATTGTTACAGGCAGAGTTTCTGTCTTCATTAGCCCCAGAGGATGATTTTTATCGTGCATTCAAAGCCTACAAAGCTTTAGGTGGAAGATATTTTAACAGACGTGTTCTTATAATGATAGTATGAGTAGTAGTCTAAATGAAAAGAATTAAATATGAAAATTAAAAAAACAATATAAATGCATTTACACTTTTATTTGAGAGGCAGTACATGTAGTTTAGGGGAGATTTGAGGAAAGGAGTATAATTGGAGCCTTAAAACACTAGGAAAACCTATCAACCATAAGTTATTCCTAAATGAAACTATTAAAGTCTTGGCAAGTTGCAAAGATGGAGAACAATTGAAATTTTTGCAAAAATAAATACAGACACATACTTTATTTAAATGATATTGTCAATTTTCATGCTACAAATGGAAAATGAAGTGCCCATAAAGGTTGAGAATGCTCTTTCTCTCTTTCGGTTTGAGTCTGAATCTTTATGGTATTGTATTTAGATGCTCTTCCTATCTCCTACCCTGTCTTCTTGTTTGCAATGGTAAATATGCCTCAGTGCTGTAGAGGAATAAGAGGGTGAGTTAGTTTTGCTGGGTGTGCTGGAGAGATTGTGATTTCTAATAGAGAATTGAATAAAGAGTTGATTAGCGTGACCTCTTACTGGCTACCCAAGGAAAAAGAAAGGAATGCACTGATTCAAAGCTTGTTTGAAGATGCCTACCATGGGGTTGTGCTTTGAGGAGAAAAGCTTGCTTTCTCTTAATCAGCCTTCCCTTACCCTGACTTTAAGAGTGTGATATAACTTGGGAGAACCATTATAGCCGGGATTAGATGAAGTGGGGACTAATGGAGTGAGCTCCCCTTTGGAATCAGTATCTTGGGTTAAAGTTTCCATTATTACTTACTTGCTATGTTATCCTGGTCTGGTCTTAAATTACCTTTTTTTATGGTTTATTCATTGTAAAAAAATGGGTGTTTATTTGCAGGGTTTTTGTGAATAGTAAATGG